AAAAAGAAAAAAAACGGAGCGGGGGGGAAAAAGAGGGAAAAAAGAAAAACAAAAAGAAATCTTATTTAAACAATAAATAAACAAAGTAATAATTATCTATATCCACACCCAATTTTAATTGTATTAGTCTGTAATTTAATCTAAACAATGTTTAATATTAAAATATTCTATTCTTAGAAGAATACACTTAACCCTACTCACTCATGTATAGATGTATACAGGCTAATGTGAGAAGTGTATTGTTGAATAGTTTACTCATTATTAATTAGATAAACGGTTAATAAAGATTATGTAATAAATGTAATATAAATCAACATAGGATTTATTCAGACACTAATAATCTATGAAGGTTTGAGGAACTGACTAAAATGATTAGTATCAGATGGGGTTTTGTAGAGAGTGTAGTAATTTCAATAGTTGAGATCATGTGTTCATGGAATCTAGATCACTATGGAAAAGTTGGAAAGATTGGACGGCTGTTTCGTCTTAGTGTAAGACTTTTTTTTTTGATGGAGTTTTGTTCTCTGAGCTGGATGGTTTGGTCGTGGAGCTTTCATCGTTCTTCTGAACGACATCATCAGCACAAACTTCAGATAGACTTCTATCCATCCAGCTCAGAGAACAAAACTCCATCAAAATCATCCACCTGAGCTACAAATCTTCTCCACCATCTTAGTGTGAGACTCCTCAGCAGTGGATTGGTTGAAGTTAGATATTATCACCGTTGGATGCTGGCTGATCGGCCAGTTCAGTGGTTTACATGTAAAGTGTTCACGTGCGAAACTGATAGGTCCTAGATTCAAATTCCGTGAGACGGAGTCATAGACGAGCACTGATGAGGAGTTGCATACTAGGATGAAACGGCGGTCCAGTCCTTCCAGGTTTTCGATGCTGGTCTAACTTCAATTGATTCATGATGTCAAGTATTTAAATTATTAGCTTGCAAACTTAGATTATGGCTCTAAGCCAAGTATATGAATATCTACATTATAAGTAAATTAGTAATATATTAAGTAATGCATTTCAGGTAAGAGAATTTGATGAATTCATCGATGGAACTTGTTGATTTTTGAAAAAGTTTACTATTATTTTTTAATCCTTACACAAACAGGCTTAAATTCGTCAATAATTGAATTTACTGTGAATTAGTCAAATATTGATATTACTTTTTTTACTGTTGAATTCATGAGTCAATTAAACGTAGATCACAATCGGTAGCCTGGAAACATTGGACGACCGTTTCGTCCTAGTATGCACCTCCTCAGCATTGCGCATCCACGATCCAGCCTCCGCGAGATTCGAATCCAACACTTATTAGTCTCACGAGCAAGTGCTTAACCTCTAGACCACTGAACCGGCATCCAACACTGTTAATATCTATCTTCAACCAATCCACAAAGTTGTACTACCGTACACCATTGCCTTTAATGAGCTGATATCTCACAACAGACCTGGTTGTACTCCATTGGTAACTGTTTCGCACTAGAACTTCAGGAAATGCCTCTTGAAGTCAGTCACTAGTGATAACTTAAATTTATCAACAATTCATTACTGTTTAAAAGAGAAAAAAAAACTAGACAAAATAGTTCAGGTTCGAAAAATAGAACACACTAAAAAGTATTGATAAGAACATCAATCAAAATGTATGTTCCTTTTATATGAAATATGATTAGTATCTCTTATTGGCTTACTGTTTTACAGTCAGTAACATAATATTATCGACTAGTTTTATGTTAACAACTGTTTCATAAATATCAAATTTTATTATTGAAAACAAGTTTTAGAAGTACATAGGTAACTTTATATCATAAATATATGGTTGATTATAAAAATAGTAATCATGATTGAAGTAGGTAATCACTCATCTGGGTAGACTCTCCGTGTCCACTAAGCTGGTTATCGCTCAGGACATTCGCTTTTTATCTTCTAAATTTTATTGCGAGAAGACAGTGAGTAAGACTTCCCTGTCATTGGTTGTATGCATATGATCATGTGAGAGTATTTGGAGAGGGAGAGATGACTCTCCTCACTCTCGTTCGTACCAGGGTATTACAACCTAATAAATCTGTAAACTATGATATTATGATAGCAAGTGGGGGGACCAATACTTGCTAAGACATTATGTACGGAAAAAAAATAAATGGTCAACAAGATAACCTTTGCCTTCTTATTATATTATCCAAATTTATCAAAGAGACTAATAGTTTTAAATAATCATTTAGTTAATAGTGCATAATTTCATTCATAGTAATTCTTATTACATAAGCCATCAACACACAACACATTACGTCGGAAAATAAAATCAGGTATGAAAAGGATGAATTACAACTGGAAAGAGCTGGAAAGGATTGGTTGGGACAGAGTTGGATGGAGAATGTTGGTGAGCGGCCTATGCTCCTTCACGAGGTGTAACAGGCGTTTGTAAGTAAATAAGCCATCAACAGTAAAACGAATGCGTATTATAATATAAGCTTATCCTTCAAGAAATATCTCTTTAAATAAGAATATACATAATTTATTAAAGTGGTTCTCAAAATTATCACACAGAAATTAAAACGTGTGTTGTTTAGTCGAGTAAGAAAAATAAAAAAATGATTGATGGGTGATATAGATTGAGGATTTGACTAATAATATTGAAATCAGAAGGGAATTTTATAGAGATTTTAGTAATTTTGTGGTTACATTCATGAGTCCATTGAAGCTAGATCACCATGGAAAACCTGGAAGCAATGGACGGTCAAATCGTCCTATTGTGAGACTCCGCAATAGTGCGCATTCATGATCGCGACTCGCGAGATTTCAACCTAAGACCTAACAATCTCGTACGTGAACGCTTAACCTCTACACCACTGAGCCATCCTGTTTTCAACAGTGTTAATATCTAACTTCAACCAATCCACAAAATTGAGTGACACATCTATCATTGTCATCGGTGAGTTACTATCTCACAATAGACACGATTGAACTGCTCAGTTCTGAGGAATTCTATACTAGAACGAAACGGCCATTCAGTTCTTCCAGGTATTCTATAATCATCTAACTTCAACTGATTCATGATCTCAACCATTGAAATGAATATAAAAGTTTAAATTGTCATGTTTATTCCTATTGATCAAAATCTCCGTGAACTTCTTCTTCTCTCTCTTTCTCTTTTGTCTTGGAATTCTTTTAGATCTTTTTTAATGGTACTAAATTATCTATTAAAGAATATTCATAAAATAATCCTAATAATTTTCAAAGAACAACTGTTCATCATTTTTAGTCAATTGAAGATCGTTTTTTTTTGTTTGTTTGTTTGTTTGTTTGTTTGCTTCAACCTTAATGATAAATTAGTTGTTATGATATATAAAATCAGAAGAAAAAATGACATGGAAAAATGTACTTTTTTCTTTTCTTTTTTCTCTACTTTTCTCTTTTTTTCTTTTCTTTTTCTTTTTTCTCTTCTTCTTTCTTTTTACTTGTATATTAAGTAATATGAAAGTTTGTTGAAATTTGAATAGAATGAATTGAATAGAAATATTTAATAATAATTAATGTCATCTTATCATTATCATTGAAATTATGTGAAAAAAGAAGAAAATAATATAAAATAGTTATAAATGTTATTTGTCAGTCAGTCAATCAGTCAATTAGTCAGCTACAACGTAGGACCAGACATATCAGTGCATCGTTCCAACTTACTATATCTCATTAGCACAGCAAGATGAACACCGGATTCATAGTAGTTAGGCCAATAGTGGTAATATATATAAAAGAACGATTGCATATAAGGATATAGTACAGGAAGAAAGAATTAGTTGGTAGAAAGAAAGATATGAAGCGATTTCAATCTCTTAGTTTAAAGGAAGACGGAAAGTGTATACACCGATACCATTGTGATCTATTCTGAGCCATGTCACGTAGAGTCTTCAACCATTAGTTATGATAGTGAAGCGGATTTCAATCAAGTTGTCTGTATCTATCAAGATGGCTCAGACCAGATGTTAAATAAATAATATTTGGTTAGAAGTGAATGATTGAAAATGTTGAAAATAGCAGCAACCTCAGCAGCAATAGGTCTTAATATACACAAAAGGAAAAGCAAGATTCTTCGATACAACACAGCATGTAACAATCCAATCACAATTGACGGAGGAGCTTTGGAAGATGTAAAAACCTCTACATATTTGGGCATCATCATCGATGAACACGGTGGATCCGATGCAGATGTGAAATGGTGGATCGGCAAAACAAGAGCAGCATATTTACAACTGAAGAACATCTGGAACTCAAAACAATCGGAAACCAACACCGAAGTCAGAAGTTTCAATACAAATGTGAAGACAGTTCTACTGTATGGGGCGGAAAGCTGGACAACTACGAAAGCCATAATCCAGAAGATACAGGTGTTTATTAACAGTTGTCTACGCAAAATACTTCAGATCCGCTGGCCGGACACTATTAGCAACAATGTACTGTGGGAGAGAACAAATCAGATCCCAGTGGAGGAAGAAATCAGGAAGAAGCGCTGGAAGTGGATAGGACACACATTGAGGAAAGCACCGAACTGCGTCACAAGACAAGCCCTCATCACATGGAATCCTGAAGGTCGAAGGAGGAGAGGAAGACCAAAGAACACATTACACCGGGAAATGGAGATAGACATGAGAAAAATGAACAAGAATTGGATGGAAGTAGAAAAGAAGGCCCAGGACAGAGTGGGTTGTGTAATGCTGGTCGGCACCCTATGCTCCATTAGGAGTAACAGGTGTAAGTAAGTAAGTAAGTAAGTAATATATTCGCTCATATAAAAACAATCAGGTTTACTATGCAACTAATTAACAAGGTCAATATATGACTCAAAAAGAATGGATATAGATATTAGCCTGTTCAGTAGCTAGAATAAGGTAATATAATCTTAACATAGTAACCGACACTACAACACCTTCATGTTGAAAATAGTTTATTTGTTTTCATGATAGAATATATACACCTATTCTTCTTTTGTTCTTCTGTTTTAGCACTTCACAACCTGGAGCCATTCACCTATCAATTATACTTAATCGTAAACAAATAATGATTCCTTTCATATATCAATATTTAATTGTAATTATTCAATTTAGATTAGGATTAACTATATATAGAAATGAAATAGAACATAAAAAGAATTTCATTAAACCTATTATAACCCATTCACCAACTGATATATTTTCAACAGATAGTATCCTTGAATTTACATGTCAAGCAACTGGTTATCCAAAACCTAACATTATATGGTATGATGCAATGACTGGTAAACAAATTATTGATGAAATACCTAATAGTGGAACAACTTCTGGTATACATGTTAATCAACATTATGGTAAACTTTTAATATCTAGTCCTGAAAGAGGTAAATTATATACATTTTATTGTAATGCATCTAATTCAGTTGGTTGGACAATAAGTCAACCACCAGTACGTGGTGGTTCAATTTATATAAGTTCACAATTTAAACAAATACCAGTGGATAAAACAGTTCATGAAGGTGATAAAGTTGTTATGGAATGTATTCCTCCAATAGGATTACCTGAAGTCAAGGTTTACTGGTTAAAAAATAATCATTTGATATCTGCACAAAATGGAGTAAAACCTAAGAATAATATCACTGTAATCAATGAATTTAAGTCTAATATTGAAATATCAATTGATGGAAGTTTACATATAAATCCTGTCACTATTAAAGATAGTGGAACATATACTTGTGTGGCATCTAATATTGCCGGTGAACAAGTTTCTCCTTCAGCTTATTTAATGGTTAAATCACGTACTCGATTTCTGGAAACACCTGTAGATATTAGAGTTAAAAAAGGACGTGATATCAAGCTGAAATGCAAAGTTGAAGGTAATCATGTTGTTAAATGGAAAAGAGGACCTGGAGAAGAACCAATAGATCCACATCGGGCTGAATTGACTGAAAGTTATCTTCTTATTAGAAACGCTCAGATTTCAGACTCTGGTACATATATTTGTACTGCTGCTGGAGGTATTGAAGCTGATGCCACGGTTATAGTTGATACACCACCAGCATTTTCTGTCACACCAGATGATCTGACAGTTAATGAAGGAGAAACTGCAGTGTTTCATTGTATAGCTGCAGGGCATCCATTGCCAGCAATTTATTGGGAGCTTCCGGATAAAACACCTATTTTTCCCGGTGACCAAACAATAAATGAATTTCATAATGGCAAACATTATTTAACTCCTGAAGGAAGTTTGGAAGTTAGAGATGTCAAACAAAAAGATTCTGGTAAATACCAATGCACAGCGCATTCATCCATTGATACAATTCATACAAGTGCAACATTGCACGTCATTAACCTGTCTAAGAAAAAGCTGGATTCATCGAAAGATGTATATTCACTTCCTGAAAACGAACCAAGACAATTTTCTCCATCTAATTTTCATTGGCTATCCCCTATAATAGGACTTCCACCTGCAAACCAAACACGAACTGTCGGTGAGATAGTCACATTGGATTGCGAACTGGGATTAACTAGAAGCCCACCTGGATCCTTGGCATCAACACTGCCCTACTCAGACTTATCTGACTGGTCTATTGGATGGTATAGGTCTACGAAGGATGGTGTAAAGGAAAATATAGACATCTCAAACCCTCCTTATGATCAGCGTTACAATTTGCTTCCCCGAGGTAGCCTTCAGATATCAAATTTACGAATAGAAGATTCTGGAAATTATACATGCCTTGCAAATGCAGTTATCAAACCTTACATAGATGGAAATTTGGTATCATTTACTTTGCAATCTAACTGGACCTCTTACTTAGATGTTGTACCTGAAGGATCACCGGCAACGGAATCTGTCAGCAACGAAAGTCCTCTTCCTCCGCCAGAAAACCTAAAAGCTACTAATGTGACGTCATCGACTGTCATACTAGTTTGGGATCTACCATTTCCTCCACTTCTCTCACAAAAATTTACACAAGGTAACCCAATGAATTCTCATCAGATTACCTATTGGGTAGAGCTCTATAGACCTGATAGACCAACAGATGGATGGATAGTGGTTGAAAAAAATTGGCACGCTCATACTGTACAGTTAGGTGGATTACAACCAGAAACTATATATTATTTTTTAATTAGACCTCGCTGGAATGAGGGAAGAGTAGGTTGGGCTAGCGCTCCTCTGGGTCCAGTTTTAACTCTAACAGAACAAGTTTCAAGTCATCAAGAGAGTCAATTATCGGACAGAGAAATTTTAAAGTCCTTTAAAAATATTAACTTAATACTTCAACATTTGTATCCACTTTCACCTAAAAGAGTTCGAGTTAGCTGGTCCATTACAGAAGTTCTCCCTGTACTATCAATGATAAAAGGTTATTTTATTTATCACAGAGAAGTCCCTTTGATGCAATGCATTTCTAATAAACTGGAAGGTATTTACTCAGATACAACTGGACTAACAATGAAGAATGGGGAAAGAATGTATTGTAGCATCAAATCTACCAATTCTATTGATTCACATTCTCTATTTCGTCTTGAAACAATGCAAACTTTACAACAAAATTTTAAAAATAAACAAGAACAAGAATTTAATAACGGAACATTAGACCCATGGATAGTCATTGATATTAAAGCTCAATATCAAAAAGATAAGAAATATAATAATATTCATAATTCATTAACAATTCAAGAAACTAGTCTTTTACGTGATCTTGAAGCATTTCGATGTTATGAAATTAAAGTTAAAGCCTATTCATCTAATTCATTTATAGAAAATATTGAAAGTCAAGAAAGTAATACACTTAAAGTTTTAACTTTCGAAAGTTTTCCAACTTCACCACCAGATAGAATATTTGCTGTATGGTTATCTAATACAACTATAGAATTATCATGGGATCCACCACCTGTCATTAATTGGAATGGTTTATTAATAGGTTATATTATATATGTATATGATGAAAATGCAAATAATCATCAAAATTTTAATTTATCTTATACTGAACAAAAAACATTAATTAAAGGATTAATTGATAAAACAATTTATTTTATTCAAATAGCTGCAATTACATGTAAAGGTATAGGTGTAAGAAGTGTACCTATTCAATTAAAACCTAATTTACGTCAAAAAGGATTAGGGGTTGGTTGGGGTTATGATCTAAAAACTGGTAAACTTTTACAATTAATCAATAATGAAAAAAAACAAAAAAATAATCAAGAAGAATATTTTTTAAATCAACCATGGTTTATTATAATAATTATATGTAGTTTATTAATATGGTGTACTATTATTATATTAATTATATTTTGTTGTCGATATCAACGTTATCAATTTAGAAAAACTTCTGATAATGTATTAATAACTAATCATTTACAATGTAGTTCAATTATTGATGGATCTAATAATCCTTGTACAAGTATAAATAATTCTATAAATGAAAATAAAATTTCTAAAAGTACACATTTATTACAAAAAGATCATATACAATTAGAACCATTATTAAGATCAGAAACACCTAATTTAGATAATGATAATTGTTTAGATACTATAGATAAAGGTAAATATGGTGCATGGCAATTATATCCTTCAACAAAACAAAATCAAACGATACATAATGAATATAATAAACCAGAATTAAATGATACACAATTTAATTCAACTGTTTTACCATTAACTCATTCATCACATATATCAAATGAAACAAATAATATTAGTTTATATGCTACAACTGAAAATATAACAAATACAATAATACATAATAATCAATGTAATCCAACACAAACAAATCATTATATTCATCAAAGATCAAATACATTAATTCATTATTCAAATGATTATAATTCACGTACATCATATTTAAGTTATCAATCACATATTATACCAAAATCTCAAATAAATACTAATCTTTCTTTGAATGGATATAATAATATAGATCAAACATATAATGGAATAACACAAATTGGTTTAACTAGTTTACCATTAATAGCACCAGTTGCGCCAATTAATAGTTTACAACATATAAATGAATCAATACCATCATCATCATATTCAATACATGATTGTAATGGAGAAAGATCACAATTAACTGTAGCACCTTATGCAACTGTATCACTTATTCATAATACAATAAATACTAATAATAATTGTAATACATCTACATTTTATACTTTAAACAATGGAGTTTATGATGATGATGATGATCATGATGATGATGGTGATGATGATAATGATCATATTGATACACCTAGTGAATTAACTTATGAATTTAATGAAAGGTTAACTCCTTCTGTAACTACAAATAATAAAATCAATTTAAATATTGATTATAAAAAGTGTAATTTACTTCAAACCCAATTACAAACCAATCAATCATCATATACAAATTATACAAATACTTGTTGTCAAGCTAATGAAAATATGAATAATGAAGAAAATGGGAATTTATCACAGTTTACATTACTAGGACAACATGATCTCATTGAATTATCACAAAGACAAGATATAAGAAATAAATCTAATTCTGCAACATCTAGTAGTTTAACCAATGATGATGATAAATCATATAAATGGAAGAAAATAACAAATGAATCTGATAATCATTTAATTACAACTAATTCAAATCAATTACCTATGATTCATTATTTAAAACAAAATAATTCCAAGATGATTATGACAACAACAACAACAACAACAACAACAGCAACGACGATAACAACCTCTGTAGGAACATCACAACATCATAATTCATTTCCATTAAAATCTGAAAAGAATGAAGGTTATTTATATTGTTATGATGATAAACAAATAATACCACCTCCACCAAAATCACCACCACCTCCAGCACCAAAATATAATCATGATATTTATAATAATAGTAATATAATGAATTATCAATGTTCACCAAGAAAAACTGATGAACAACATGAATTAACAATAGAATATTCATCTTCATCTTCCATATCATCTATTACACATACAACACATTCAACAATACCAAACAATAATGAAATGAAACAAATTCCACAATTGAATCCATTAATAATAACAACACCTAGTAATCATAAAGAAACTGAACATTTATTTCATACAAATCATCATCATAATAATAATGTACAATTAAACAATCCTAAATCATCTATAAATGAACAAAATATATACTACTCAAATTATTGTAGTAGTGATGATGATAGAGAAAATCAACAAATGAATGATAAAAATTTGGAATATAATTTTACAAAATATACTAATGATAATCATTATAATATTATTACTACCACTACTACTACTAATAATAATAATAATAATCCTCGTCATCATCATCAACAACAACCACCACTACCACCACCACCACCACAACAACAACAACATCAAAATCAATCATTGAATACATCATTATCCTTAGATAAACAATCATTTATACAAAGACCAATAATGTTATTAAATCAACATGAATTAACTAATACATCATCATCAACATTTTGTATATCATTAAGTCCAGAAGAGCATTCTAGTTCAACATATGCTCAAGTGTATTAAACTTATATATCTATATCTATATATATATAGTAATAATGTTATTTGAGAATTACATGATATTTACATTTTCCCTATCTTTTTCACACATACACACACATACACACCGACAAACAAGGATACATACATACATACATACATATAAACACATCGACACAGGATTACAATTTCATAAATTAGTGATGTAATCATCATTCCAATTTGATTATTATTATTATTTTACTCTTCTATGAATTAAAAATCTATCTCTTAATGAATTAGTTGTCAGGTGTGTGTGTATGTTAGTTTTTCTTTTTTTTCAAATCTACCATTTCATTTATCATGTAACTTATCTTTGTATAAATATGAGTAATTTTCAACCTTTTCATTTGTTTACTAACTATTGATTGTTATGTGTTTGTTTATTTATTTATTTATTGATTTATTGATTTTTTAGCATAGGATATTTTTCCGACCACCCACCCACCCCCCTCTAAAATTCAGCTCATAGTTACACAGTATTCTTTTTTTTTTTTAGAAAAAAAAAAGAAATTAAGGATATAAATGATGATAGGATTTTATTCTATAACTATCATAATGTTATTATTTTATTTTTCTTTTTATCATATTTATTTATTATTTCATTATAAATACTTCTGTCTAGTAGTTTATTACTAAGTGATTGAATTAGTTTTAAATAGATGTAATACATTGAAATGATTATGTAATCAACATCATCGCCATCACCATCACCATCATTATCATCATCATCATCATCATCATCCTATAATAAGAATAACTTCTTTATGGGCTATAGTTTGTTTACATCTTTCTTTTAATCAATTCTATGTACAAATTCGGCTTTATTAACAAATAAAATCACAAGTAACATAGGGATAATTATGAATTTCAATAAAACAATAACATTTACATACACACACACACATTTATTGTTTGTATATTTATTTCTTGTTTGTTCTTTTTTATATTCCAATCTATTCTGATGTGTATATGGTTCAATAGAACAACTGTTTGTATTATTACAGTTTTCTATTATAAACCTTTAATAATAAGAAGACTAAGCAATCTAATGGCTCTTTGCATAAATTAAATAGAATAATCTTATTACTTTGTTTATTAGTTTCTCTGTTTAACTTTCTTAGATTTGTCTTTTGTGTTTATTCTAATGTTTTCTATTACAATTGCTTCTTTTAATGATGAGGATGACGACGATGATGATGACGATAATGATGATGATGATGATGATGATGATGATGATGATATTTGTTCATGTTATACTTACCCAGTGAATGACCATAATTAAGGAAAACTATTTACTTCTATTGTTTGGTAACAACTTCACATACAAAACCATACACAGTTACACACACACTCACACACACAGAGAGACTCGAACACACACACACACATAAATATATAAATATTTATACATACAATTATTCAATATGTAAAAATTATTTATTCTTTCCAACTTGTCTATTCGTTGTCTTCGCTACTATTTTATTTATTTATTTATTTACTTATTTATTTATTGTGTTATTTGTATAGAAACAAAAAGGGAGTCATGAGAACCAAATGTAAAATGATTACGTCACAAACAAAACAAAAAAATAATAATAATTAATTTAGAATTTTTTTTTGTTCTTTTGTACAGAAGATTTTATTTAAATATGATGAATAAAAGTTAAAGTGTTTTATTGTTCGGTGTTTTTGTTCTGTTTTGTTTTGTTTGTTTTTGATTCTGATCATGAAATGATTGATGTTAGATCAATCATTGAAAACGTGAAAGCACTCGAACGCCAACTCGTTCTTTTGAATAACTCTTCAGTAGTGTGCATCCACCATCCCGTTCATGGGATTCCAATTCTGGGCCTTCAGTGTCGCGAGCGAACATTTAACCTCTAGACCACTGAGACGACCACTGGTGTCAATGTTTAACCTTAAAAAATTTCTTTCTCTAAAATGGCATTCTTTAAGTAAAAGTATTTTAATCGTTTAAATATCCTCCATCATATTAAGAAGACTAATTTATGAATAAAGAATATTCTTTTCGATAAATTCTCTTCATATTCTACAATTCATATATCCAAATTATTAAGCTGAAAAATGGCCAAGTTAACGGTAAAATACATCGTTTAAAGTTAAAGCATATGAACTGTAGGATTGTTAAACAAAATAGAATAAAATTGTTCATGTTGATATAACCCAAATAGAATGTCAACTTGAATCTGCATATATGTTAAGCCGAAATGTTAAGATCCATGAACTAAATAAATATGGATTAGATAGAGTGAAAGTGATAAGTAATAGTGCAATTACAATGGGATCAAATATTTCATGCAAGACCATAATGTGGGAAAAATTGGTAAAACATATCATGGTGAAATGAATGCGAATCATGTATTGAGCAGATTAATAATGATGTTTAACCAATAATAATAATAATAATAATAATAATAATAATAATAATAATAATAATACAAAAATTTGCGAATAAAGATAACAGAGACAATTACATATGACTACGAACTGTCTTAAGTACAATAGTCAAATTAGGTCATTCAATAGCTAAGATTACCATTGATTAATTTGTTTTGAGTTTAGCCAAGGGGGTGGAGAATCGATGGAAGATGTTTATTCTATACACGTAGCTCCGATTTCTTCATCTTGATGGCTACTGCTTCAGTCATTTTTCGGATTATTAATTTGGAGAGAATATTCTTCATTTAAACATTAGTCTTTTAAAGGTATTTCAAATTTTTGATGTTCTTAGATGAAAGCCGTAAATTACAAAAGATTACTTATGATAATAATAACAATAGTGTTGTGTAATAGGGCAGCATTCCTTCAATTAAAGAACATATGGAACTCAAAACAACTGTCTGTCAATCAATATCAAAGTCACAATCTTCAATACGAACGTCAAGGCAGTTCTACTGTACGGAGATGAAACGTGGAGAACTACCACAACCACTATCAAGAATGTACAAGTATTTATCAATAGCTGTCTACGCAAGATACTCAACATCCATTGGCCGGATACCATCAGCAAAAGCCTTTTGTGGGAAAGAACCAACCAACTTCCAGCTGAAGAGAAAATGAAGAAAAGACGATGGAAATGGATAGCACATACATTGTGGAAATCATCAAACTGCATTACGAGACAAGCGCTAACTTGGAATCCTGAAGGGAAGAGGAAACTTGGAAGGCCAAAGAACACATTACGTCGGGAAATAGAAGCGGATATAGAAAGGATGAATAACAACTGGAAATTGCTGCAAAGGATTGGTTGAGATATGATTGGATGGAGAATGCTGGTGAGAGGTATATGATCCTTCACGAGGAGTAACAGGTGTAAGTAAGTAAGTAAGTAAGTAAGTAAGTACAACCATTAAGATGAACATCTCAATTATTTAGATATAACAGAAAGTAAATGGAGACTATATTAATTGTATATCAGTCCCTTTCATTTTAGGGTTCTTGCAGTTCACATAATGCATGTTAATACAGAATATTATTGATTTCATTTTACAAACATTCCACGTATATATTTGTATTTAACGAAAATTTAAATTTAATAGTTGAGATCATGAGTCATTTGAACCTAGACTACTATGGAAAACATGGAAACATTGAACGGCCAACTTGTCCTATTGTGGAACGTTTCAACATTGCGCATTCACGATCCCCCCGGCGAGATTAGAACTCAGAATCTATCAGTCTCACACTCCAACGCTTAACATCTTAGACCACTAAGCCTAGCGGCATCTAACGGTGTTCATGTCTAACTTCAATTAATCCACGAAATTGAGCGACATATCCACCATTGTCATCATTAAATTACTATCTCAGAAAAGATCCAATTGAACTCCACTGGTCAAGGCTTCTCGCTAGAACTGTAAGAAAAATCCTCTTGAAACCAGCCACTAATGAGCACATGTTGATTCATATCAGAAGGGTTTTGTGGATATTATAGTAATTTCAATAGTTGAGATCATAAGTTAATTGAATCTAGTCCAACATAGAAAACATGAAAGCACTGAACGGCCAACACCTTCTATTTTGAGACTCCTCAGCAGTGCTTATTTACGATCCCACCCCCCACGAGTTTCGAACCCAGGAACTATCAGTCTCGAGCTTCAACGCTTAATCTTTAAACTATTGAACCGGAATCCATTGTATTATTTCTCAAAATAGAAAACTTCTCTTCTCCAAGAAGTTTATTTTATTATATATATAAGAAAAATGCTTCAATTGTCAACACCTTATAGAAATCTATTCTATCTCTTAATAAAACTCAAATAATGCCAAAGGCAATCACATTATCTTCCCCTACTCCACCCCCATCCTGTCTCTTTCTCCCTTTTTTTTTCTGTAAACAAGTAAATAATAGAATATATTATTGTGAATAATTTAAAACATAGAAAAAAACATTATTTATTCCCCTTTATATCTACTCTATGCTTTTATGGTTCTTTCCACCATGTTTTAAGTTTAACTCTATTTCTATTCACTTGAATAAGAGGTAACTTTGCATGTTCATCACACATATATATATATATATTAGTCATTTAACATATTTTACTTCATTTAGATTATTATTCACGTGTGAATTAAATAACCATGTAGAATAATGTAAAAAGAACATAGAAATTCGCATAATTCTATTGATGAAATATGAAACAAACAAAATAAAATTTTTCAGGAAAAAGAGAAAAAAGATAAAAGAGAAAAAAAAGAAAAGAGAAAGAATCATTTATCATGTAAAAATTGATAAACTTGTTGAATTGATAGAAAATATTGAGAATAGAATGATGAGTTTCATCCTAGTATGGGACTTCTCAACAGTGTACATCCGCGATACCACATTGCGAGTTTTGAACTAAGGGTCTATCAGCCTCACGCCCCCCCTTCGCGGGAGCGGGATCGTGGATGCACATTGCTGAGGAGTCTAATACTAGGACGAAACAGCCGTTCAATACTTCTAGGTTTTCCATGGTTGTCTAGCTTCAATTGACTCATGATTTTAACTATTGAAATATATATATGTAAATTAATGTCAAGACAGTTCTAGCGTTTGGGGTGGAAACTTGAAGAATTAGAAAAACCACCATCCATAAGATAAAGCAGCAACCTACTATGGGAGAAAACAAATCAGATTCCAGTGGAAGAAGAAAACAGGAAGAAGTGATAGAAGCGGATAGAACATACATGGAGAAAAATATCCAACTGAATCACAAGGTAATAACTTTCTTAGAATCATTAAGACCGAAAACGGAATGAAAGACGAAAGAACACATTATGTAGAGAAATAGAGATAGACATGAGAAGAATGAACAAGAATTGGATGGAAGTAGGAATGAAGGTCCAGGATATAGTGTTTTGGAGAATGCTGGTTGTCGGCCTATACTCGATTGGAAGTAACAGACGTACGTAAGTAAGGAATGTACAACATTTACACTAATTTGAAATAACTTGATTTGATTACAATATTCGGCTGGGTCTCATTCATCATTCAGTCAGCAACATTGTAGATATTCGTACATACGTACGCACATCAGTTCGAGTTAGCACATCGCATTAGTAAGGACATATAATTGTCGATTCAAATCTCATACTGGTAGAGAAAGTAAAAGTAGTAATCGAAAAGATTAACGTTTGAAGATGTTATTTAAGGAGTATAATCCGGTGGAATAGATTTGGAAAGAGGAAAAAAGAGACATGAAGAATTCAGAAGATTAGAGTTTGGGAGAACACAAAGAGTGGATGCACCTGTGCCATTGTAAACGATTTTAAGCCATATCATTCAAGGTCTCTAATCATCGGTTGATATTATCTCACGGATCCCCTGAATCAGGTAGTCTACACCTACCAACATGACTCACTCCACCTGTCAGTGACTTTATAGATTTGTGCCGTGTTGTGGTCTGGCCGCCACTAGCTTTCTTCCAACCTATTCCTACTCCATAAAACATTTATCTTCTGGGCAGTTGGTGGTCGGGCATACATAACACATGTCCCAACTATCTCAACTGATGAATTCTCACTACTTCATTAATTGATTTGCCATCCTTACCTAGTATCCGTTTACTAGAAACTGTGTGACTTATTTGGTGGTTCCAGAATATATGAGCAATGCTTTGGAGACACCTATGATCGAATACTAGTAACCCACGAATATATTTTACTCTTCCCATCCATGTTTCACAGCCATAAAGAAGGACAGAACGAACTGCTGAGCAGTAAATGCGTTCTTTGATT